CCCCCCCACCACCACCCCCGGGGCTTGCCAGCGTCTTGGATGAAGGCTGGACCTGCGCGGATCTCCACCTCTCCCAGGCTGGGCTCGACCAACAAGACCACAACACCAGGTAGGGATCCTGCAGCTTCCCGGGACACCCGGGGAATGCCGGTGAGGCTTTTCCAGAGGCCAGTAAATTCTGGAGTAGTCGGGGAGGGGGGTGTTTCTTGCACCCAGACCTCAAAACAGAGAGGATTGCCTCCCGTGCTGGATCGCCCCGGCGTGGCTTCTCCACCTCCGGTGGAGGTCCGGCCGGCGTGAGGTTCCCTCAGGTTGGAAATGCGGCTTTTTTTCCCCCGGTAAACTGCATGTGGTTCCCTCCTTGCTTTTTTTCTCTCCCCTTTGCAGAAGGAAGATCTACGGACCGAACCTCATCGAGGTGCCGGTCAAGTCCTACGCCAGGCTGTTGGTGGAGGAGGTGTGCATCTACCGACCGTGCTTCCAAACGCCGCGTTGTCCCCGGGGCAGATCCTTCCCCCTGCTCCCACATCCTTCGCTGCCAGCGCTTCCTCGCTGGTGGGGTGGAGAGGACTTTAGAGGAGAAGCAGCTCAAGCAGAGATCAGAGAAGACAGAGCTGTGGAGGGGACCCGTCCTGCCTCTTAGCTCAGACAGGAGCGTCCCCAGAGAGTTGTAGAGGTGGCTGAGCGTCCTCGGGAGTGTCCCGACCGTAAGCGAAGCCGGGGAAGGACGGAGGGTTTGTGAGAAGTCAGCCAGTTCATCCCCAGCCCCAGGGAAGGACCGTCTTCTCCTCTGCATACGCAGTTGTTCCTCAAGGAGCCTGGAGGTCTCACAGTGGGCTGGAGGGAAGCTCTCCCCACCCCAAACCTGCTCTCTCTCTCTCTCTCCATGGTCCCTTCCAGGTGCTCAATCCCTTCTACATCTTCCAAGTGTTCAGCATCGTGCTGTGGGTCTGCGACGCCTATTACTACTACGCTGCCTGCATCTTCCTCATCTCCACCATCTCCTTAGGGCTGTCCCTCTACGAGACGAGGAAGGTTGGTGGGGGGCTTATCTGGGACACGCAATTTGAGCGGAACAGCCCATTTTCTGATGATGTTTGACCTCTGTGCTGATGCTGAGCTCCCTCCGAGCCCGGCTGGGGGAGGACAACCCATACTCCCAACGGCGGGGCGGGTTTCCTCGTCCTCCATCCGCGGTCCCGAGCCTTCGAGACCTATTTTTAGGGATGCTTCGCTGGGCTTTTTGAGCTGCTGCTCTCCTCTCCCTCCCTCGCCAGCAAAGCGCAACGCTGCAGAACATGGCCAAGATGTCGGTGGGTGTCCGAGTCCATCGCCCCAGCGGGGGGGAGGGTGATGCCCGCCGCGAAGGCCTGAAGCTGTTGGGGATGACGCGGGGATGACGGTGCCTGAGCACAGCCACGTTCTTTTTTGGGGTTGTTTTGGTTTGGTTTTTGTTTTGTTTTGGGTTTTTTTTTGCCAGAGGAGATGGTGGTGAGCTCCGCCGACCTGGTGCCGGGCGATTGCATCAGCCTCCCCTTTTTTTTCTTTTTCTTTTTTTTCCTGGTTTTAACATTTCAGCCGGTCAAAAACGCCTTTATTCTCTTTCAGAATAAACCAGAAATTTGGCTTTTTTTTTTTGGGGGGGGGGGGAGGACGGGAAAGGATGAGCCGTAAGGATGGCCCTACGGCAACCCCTTCCCATCCAGGCTGGTTGGGTCCTGCCCCCTCCCAGGGTGATAAACCTCTCTCCGTGATGTTCTTGGCCGTAGGGGAGAGCGTGCCGGTGATGAAAACCCCTCTCCCGGCCAGCAGCCAGGCAGCCGCCACCGTCTATTCCCCTGAGGAGCACAGGCGGCACACGTTGTTCTGCGGGACGCAGGTCATCCAAGCCAAGTCCTACGTGGGCAGAGAAGTGCTGGCCGTGGTGACCCGCACTGGTAATGAATGGATTGAGGTGGGGAGGAGGGAAATCGGGATTAAGCCACGTCCTTCGGAGCTGTGACTTTGCACGCCCTTACCTTCCCGCCCCTCTCCCGCAGGTTTTTGCACGGCCAAAGGGGATCTCATCAGCTCCATCCTCTACCCCAAACCCGTCAGCTTCAAGTTCTACAAGGATGCTGTGAAGTTTGTCCTGTTCCTCGCCGTCCTGGGTACGTGTGAGCGTGGAGGCATGGCCAGGAGCAGCCAAACTCCTCTTAGAATGGTTGCAGGCAGCCTTCGCCCGCTTCGCTTTGTAACCGAGCCTCTTCTCCCTCCCGCCCAGCTTTTATCGGAACACTCTACAGCATCCTCATCTTGGTGAAAAACCAGGTAGGGCTGTTGGGGCTGGGGAATCCCCACGCTCAGGTTGGCACTGGGACCATCAGGTGAAGGTGGGTGAGGGCTACGGGGATGCCCACCCCTCTTCCCTCCTCGCCTGCCAGGTCCCCGTGGGGCAAATCATCATCCGTGCCCTCGACCTCGTCACCGTCATCGTGCCCCCGGCTCTCCCGGCTGCGATGACGGTGGGTACCATCTACGCCCAGAACAGGTTGAAGAACCAGGGCATCTTCTGCATCAGCCCTCCCCGTATCAACCTCTGCGGGAAGATCCGCCTGGTTTGCTTCGACAAGGTGAGTCTCCATCGGCGCCGCGGGAGAACGAGGGTTTCCAACTCGAGGACTGGACCCACCACGCTCTCCCCCGCAGACGGGAACGCTGACGGAGGAAGGGTTGGATGTCTGGGGGGTGGTCCCGCTGGAGAACAACCGTTTCGCCCCCATCGTCCACGAGCCCCGCCGCCTGCCCGCTGGCCCCTTGCTCTACTCCCTGGCCGCCTGCCACGCCGTCACACTGCTGCGGGCGCAGCCCGTCGGGGACCCCGTGGACCTCAAGATGGTGGAGTCCACGGGCTGGGTGAGACAAGCGGTGGGCAAGGTTGCATAGCTGTAAAGAGGAAGGCGCATCTTGCTCCGCCGGGAGGAGGGGATTGTTTCGAACCGTCCCTGGGGTGGATGGGGTTTGGGGTTTGCGAGGCAGAGCTTTTCCCAGCTCGGTGTCTGCCTTGGTTTCAGCGCCTGGAGATGATGGAGGAGGAGGAAGGTGAGCTGCCCGCCTCCCAGCAGTTTGGGACGAAGGTCTTGGCTGTGATGCAACCTCCTCCCGAGGAAGAACAGCCGCGAGACAGGGTAAGTCCCGGGGATCAGAAGGGCTCAGGCTCCCCAGGTCACTGGATCTTCACCCCCAAAGGGTCGTGGTGCTTCACAGCCTCTGGAGAGGGGTCAGACCTCCCGGAGAAATTCCTGCCTGGCCCTGAAGCCCTCTCCATCTTCCCCGCAGAAGCACCGGTCACCCCTGGGGATCCTCCGGCGTTTCCCCTTCTCCTCCTCCTTGCAGAGGATGAGCGTGCTGGTGAAGCTGCCCGGCGAAGCCCCGGCCCACGTCTACATCAAGGGCGCGCCGGAGATGGTGGCCAGTCTTTGCGGGAAGGAAACCGGTACGTACTGGGGGACGTGCGGTGGTTCACTATCCCTCCCCAGCTGAGAAGCGGCCGCTCCTGCTGCTCTGTCGTCTCTCTGCATCCCTACGGCTCCCCCCCCACGGCGCAGGGGGTGGGATGCTGTTGGCGGAGGCGCGGGGCTTTGGATTAGCTCCAGCTTCACGGTGGGAGAGGGGGGAGAAAATAGGAGCCGAAGGGGGTGGGAGTCTGGATGAGCATCCAAAGCCCTTCGGTCCTTTGGGAATTTGGAGCCCCCCCCGGGATCTGCGGAGACGGGGTTCGTTCGGGGGCTCGTTCTGACCCCGCTTTTCCCCCCCCTTCGCGGCTGCCAGTGCCTGCGGATTTCACCCACGTGCTGCGACACTACACCACGGACGGATTCCGCGTCTTGGGTCTGGCTTACAAACCCCTGAGCGCGCTGACCACCTTCCAGGAGGCTCTGCAGCTCCCGAGGTCGGTGCCAACTTTTTTTTTTAACCTTCTCGTTAGATCTTGTTTGCTCCCGGCATCTCACGGGATGCTTTGCTCACCCCGCGGCCTGCCCCGTCCGAGCAGCCTGAAAGGAATTAAACCCCGATTTGTCCTAAAGCGGTCGCTGGCTGCCTCCCAGATGGATTTTTTTAAGCTGTTTATACCCATCGATGCTCTCTGCCCGCTGTGGAAGACGGTGTTGAATGGCTCCTTCTATCCCACCAGGGACTCCGTGGAGAGCGGCCTGACCTTCCTGGGCTTCCTCGTCATGAAAAACGTCCTCAAACCGGAGTCTGCGCCCGTCATTCGCCTCCTGAGGAACGCCAACATCCGCCCCGTCATGGTGACAGGTGACCCTGAGGAGGGGGGAACGGGGGACGCTGGGCTCGGGGAGGACGTGGGGACGCAGGCGACCCGCGACGTCGCGCAAGGGGTGGAGGGTTTCTCCGCCAGAAATGGGTGGCCTGGAGCAGCCGGGGGGCACGGGGAGGACTGCGGGACGCCGGTTTGGTGCGTCCCCACTTGTTGGCGTTGTCCTCTTGGGGGGAACTCGGGGGCAGGCGGCGTGGGGAGGGTTACGGGCTGCTTTCTTGTGAGCCCGCAGAGCCGGGGTGGACGGTTTAGGCAGCAAAACTGCTCGTGGTTTCCCCACCGGTGACATAAATGTCGGTATCGCGCGAGCGCCCCGAGTTGCACGGTTAAAGAAGGACACGTAGGAGTCGCCGTCGGGTGTTTTGCGGCGAGGCAAGCGGCGCTGCCGGGGTTGGAAGCTGCTGGTTTTCTTCGGGGTAAGGCAAAAAGGAGGTTTTTTGGAGCTCATCCCTCCAAAAGTGGGGAAGAGAAGGGATCCCCCCGTGCAGCGTGGCTGTGGTGACCTGGAGAAGGGGAACGCAGCAGCTTTGTGGCTTTGAGCCGCTCTTGGATGGGTAACCACGTGAGACCCCACCAGCGCCGGTGGAGCGAAACTGGCTGTGACAGAGCTCAGAGGGTTGTGATCAGCGGCACAGGACCTAGTTAGAGGCCTGTAACCGGCGGTGTCCCCCAGGGGTCAACACTCGGTCCAATATTGTTCAGTCGGAGTCTGGTTGGAGACCTGTAACCAGTGGTGTCCCTCAGGGGTCAACACTTGGTCCAATATTGTTCAATATATTCATTAATGACCTGGATGAGGGGACAGAGTGTATCCTTCAGCAAGTTGGCTGATGATACCAAACTGGGAGGGGTGGGTAACACTCCAGAGGGCCGCGCTGCCATCCAGTGGGACCTGGCCAGGCTGGAGAGCTGGGCAGAGAGGAACCTCATGAGGTTCAACATAAGCAAGTGCAGGGTCCTGCACCTGGGGAGGAAGAATGCTGGGCACCAGTATAGGTTAGGGGT